CGGCAGCGAAGGCGGCTCGGCGGGGCCGTGAAGGGCGGCGTCGCTGCCGCGAAGGAGCAGCGACGAGGCCGCTAAAGGGCGGCGACGAGGCCGCCGAAAGGGGCGGCGACGAGGCCGAGTAGGGGCGGCGACGGGGCCGCGGAAAGGGGCGGCGACGGGGCCACGGAAAGGGGCGGCGACGGGGCCGCTGAAGGGCGGCGACGTGGCCGCTGAAGGGCGGCGACAAAGCCGCTAAGAGGCGGCGACGGGGCCGCTGAAAGGGCGGCGACGGGGCCACTGAAGGGCGGCGACGAAGCCGCTAAGAGGTGGCGACGGGGCCGCTGAAAGGGCGGCGACGGGGCCGCTGAGAGGGCGGCGACGGGGCCGCTGAAAGGGCGGCGACGGGGCCGCTGAAAGGGGGAGGCGGCGACGGGGCCGGAAGGGGCGGCGACGGGGCCGTCAAGGGCGGCAACGAGGCCGGTAGGGGCGGCGACTGGGCCGTCAAGGGCGGCAACGAGGCCGGCAGAGGCGGCGACGGGGCCGCCAAGGGCGGCGCGACGGGCCGCTAAGGAGGGCGCGACGGGGCCGCTAAGGAGTGCGCGACGAGGCCGCTAAGGAGGGCGCGACGGGGCCGCTAAGGAGGGCGCGACGGGCCGCTAAGGGTAGAACACTAGGTGCGCCTCGGGTAGGGGACAACGCGCGCCCCGGGCAGGAAAAAAAAAATCGATCTTGGTGGGCCCTAGGACAGTTCCCACTAGGGAACCTGCTCGATACCATGAGAAACTTAGAACGAGAAAATGGGGTTTACTAACGAATGAAAGTGATACAAATATGAAACCCTAGAATTGTGTACCCCTTAGTATCTAACCCGCTACAGCCTACACAGGCTAGATCATATAAGTTTGACAACTTAGGCTATGGGGGTGTGTCAAATGCTGTGGCCTTTAGTGATGTGTGTTACATGGGGTACAGCAGTTAGGGTTAGGTTTATGTATCCCAACCCACAATAGTCAATCATCATTCGGTTTCTGACACCGATCATCACCCATGAAAAAATATCGAGCCACCAAGTTCAAGACCCACGTGGAGCCCGAAGGATCGAGTTCCTGATTTGCTGGAAAGACCGCCCCCGTATGGAAGACAACTGGGTGCTCTTGGATAAAATTGAAAACCACCCAGTCCTCACCGAGTACCTGCGAAGAAGCAATTTTTGGGATGTACACGCATTCTTGTAAGGAGGGCCTCCTTGGGGAGGGGGGTGGTGTAAGGAAAATTCATTTTTATCACTTTGCTTCTTGCTTACCGCGTACACGACTGTTCCCGCCAACAACACCCAACAGTAAAACATTACAAATCGCGACACTCGCCTCGACCACTGTTTCCGCCACTGTTCACTCGCAGCTCCGTGGTCCGGTCCTCGGCCTCGACAATTCCCAGCCTCGGCACCAGGCCCGGCGCACACCACGTTCTCGCACATTACCGTTACCACGCTAGCCTTTGCGATATAAGAGCGTGTTATACCTGCTGTATTTTCAAGGATCACAGGGTGAAGATCACCAACACCCCAACCGTAGGATTACGAGTGGTCAAACTACATATTTTTGGGGCTAATCACGATCCTTGCTGGTGTACCAAATAACCATATTGGAGTGGTGATCATCTGCGACCAGGCGACGTCGTCAGCAACTGCGCGACGTCACCTGAATTTGATATTTGCAATGACCATGTTGACTTCGTTACTGACCGAAATGCAACAGTTTCATTGGTTCAAATTCAATCAACATAATGTTTTGATTAGTCGCGACCATGTTACAGCTGTTTGCGACGTTTATATTTTCGTTACCGACGATTACGCTGTCTTGTGGTACAAAGATGCAAAGATCACCGAGAGATTGGCAGTCACCATGATCTTTCAGAAAACACCAAGATTGGTTAGCACAGATTACACCCTGTTTCTCGCTATTGTCTATGCCGGTATACTGAACCCTGTGGCTCAACACGCCAAATTAGGCGCTATAGTCAACTTTTACACCAGTTCGGTATGACGAGATCAGCTACCTTTGAAGACGGTCGATTAAACTTTTAATATGGCTCGGTAGGGTACCCAGGTTAACGAAATTTCGGATCACCCGCCTCCTAGAGACGGATATTGTAAACTTTTCGAGTACGTCCAAGGAACAGTTCCACTGTTCAATGTGTTTCCGCAGTTCAGTGTAGCGAGAAACAGGATGTAGATCCTTCCTCTGTTGGTACAACACCTGACATAGTGATTACTGTATAGTGGTGGGTATGACACTGTTCTGCAAGGGTTGCCTTCGCGACCCTGAAAATGCAGCGATCTTTGCTTGGGTGTAACACGCTCTAATGTTTAGCTCATGCCTTCGCTCATTGTATTCTTGTCTCGACAGTGCAATCCTCGTTCGCTCACTCCAATCCACTCGCAACACACGGCCACAAACTCTCGACCCTCAGGGCAAAATGGTGATGGGTCAGCAAGGCTGGATAAGGCGTATGGACCTTCTTGACTCTGAACCTGGACACTAGGATTCTCTGGTCGGATCAGCCGTGGTCCGTCACTAGGTGGACTCTGTTTTGGTCCGTATGTTGCTGGGATTCCAAGATTCGTGGGGAGTTTTCTGCCAGAGACAACACCAGGCGCTATCTCGCTCACCCAGTGTTTTGTGGTGGACATGGTTGTTTCGCCCCGCGCACGACGATAGGCAAATTTGTGTGGTAGAAGCACACCGGGCTGTCGCAAATCTGGTAACTATCGTAACAATGAAATGGTTAATGTTCGACGAAACATTATCCAGACCATAAATCTAGGCTGCGTTCTGCAGGCGCATCAGCTCTGATGCGTCTGAGGCTCGGCCTGATCCGCACATTGAGAAATTGAGGTTTGAAAATTGCAAATTAGAAATTGAGAAATTGAGGTTCGGACATTTGGAATTAAGGTTTGGAAAATCTGTCGAGATTCAGGAAATTGGACATTCAAATTACTGACGACTTTCAACATCCCGAATGTTACAGGTTTCTTGAAAGTCCCCTAAGTCATATGTAGCCGAAATTTGGATGTGGCAAACTAATTGGCCAATGAGGTTGCAGCGCATCAGCTGATGCGTGCGTGCATGATCCATTTTTTCGAAGTCGCATGATGCGCGCATCAATTACGCGCCCGATCGCTAGGAGAAGAAGCTTCTTGGAACGCGGTTACATTACAAATTTCGAAAGCCAAAAAGGCCGTTCTGCAGGTATTCGGGTGTGTTCTGCTTCGGTAGCCATCCGCTTATCGCGAGCCTTGATAACCTGTCGGCAGGTTATCATGGAAGGATTCTGGAACCATGGTATGCGCTTGCAGAACGCAGCCCTAGGTTTCTTCCTTTATCTAGTCTAGCCAGGAAAGCTGGAGAAGTCTGCTCGCTTCCACCTCATCGTTTCACTTGTGAATCTTCCCTCAAACGAGGCCAATATGGAGAGTACAAGGACAGACATGAAAAACTTGGGACGTGTGCTTCACGGCTTTATTATGTAGCACGAAGCCATGATGAAACATCTGTAGTACGAACCCCGTTGAATCGGCAATCCTGAACCTTGAGTCGCACGCCAAAGCAAGGGTTTGTGTTCCAGGCGGGGACGATTTCCGACATCATCTTGAGCGTCATTCGGCGTCTGGGATGAAATACGCTAAAGTGCTCGTCTGGGAGTGTGAGCATAGGAAAGTTCGCAATAAAAAGGCAGTAATTTCTAGCGTTGTCACTTGAGGCGCCGCAACGTTTACCATGATCGCAGATGTGGCGTACGCGGGGTTGCGCGACGCATTGGCGCAGTCGCAGAGCAACAATGATCGCCTGACGAGCTTCGTAGGGTCGCTCAACCAGCGCCTCTCGGCCTTAGACACGGCTATGCGACCGACGCAGGTGAGACGTGCGACATGACGATGCACACGCGACGCGAGCAATCGAAGGGGTATCCGCCGTAGAGCAGTGAGCATGCAGAGCAGTGAGCATGCAGAGCAGTGAGCATGCAGAGCAGTGAGCATGCAGAGCAGTGAGCATGCAGAGCAGTGAGCATGCGGAGCAGTGAGCATGCAGAGCAGAGCGGAAGCCGAGCGGAACGAGCCGACCCGATTCGACCTTTCGAGCCGAGCCGAGTCGAAGCCTAAGCCGAGTCCTTGTTACACTCTATGAAACTTTTGTTCCTTGTAAATTCAGCATTCACCTGAGATTCAGCCTGGAATTGTGCCTTAAAGGCTGCCTGTTGTGGCGTCTCTGCCCCCTCCCCTTCGCTGTCCCTAGTGCTGTGGCTCGTGTTATGGTCATTCTTATGCACATGGTCACATATGTATGCATTCTCGCTCACCTCCCTTACCTTATTCCCCCCCACTCCCTTCCGCTCTTACCTCCCCTCCCCCACTCCCGTCCGCTCTCGCCCCCCCTCCCCCACCCTTCCGTTGTCCTTCCGCTAGTCGCCCTCCTCCTCCTCCTACTCCCTTCCCTCGCCATCCCGCTTCCGCTTTCAACTCGACGCTCTCCGTCCCACCTTCCAGTGTCAACCTAACCCGCCAGGAGCGCACAAGCGCCATAGACAAGGCGCACGCTCACGTTAACATGGCATGCGTTCATCTTGCACTCTCCCTCCGCACTCTCTTCCCTCGCCGCCATCCTTCCCGCACTCAATATCCCTCGCTCGCCCTCTCCCGCTCTCTCGTCCCACTCTCCTTCTCCCACGCCCACCTCGGAATGACCTGGCAGCAGCGGGTGCATTCACCATCTCCCTTCCATCACGCACTCACCTTCCCCCATTCCGTTTCTCTCCATCCCTCTCACCCTCCTGTCCCTCCAAGTTGTCGCAGGGTGAGTTGGCAGGAGAGAACCGACGCCATGGCAATGCATGCGTCACATGAATATGCCCTGTTTGTCTCACCTTTCTCCCTTTTCCCCTCCCACTCGGCCTGACCTGTAAAAAGGAAGAAAATGTAACATTACAACATAACCGGGCAAGCAGGAGTGCACTGTGCACCTATGCAATCTGCGTGCGGGGCGCAATGTCAGCGTCGGTATGCATCCTCCCTTTCGCCTGCTTCCCTCGCACAGGAGCGCACCTACACCATCCGCAAGGCGCATGTCAACGTGGACAAGGCGCTCAAGGCTGCTGAGGTGGTGCTGGAGAAGTATGACGTGGCGAGGCAGGTGAGATGACGTGGCAAGGCAAGCGAGATGACGTGGCGAGGCAGGTGAGATGACGTGGCGAGGCAGGTGAGATGACGTGGCGAGGCAGGTGAGATGACGTGGCGAGGCCGGTGAGATGACGTGGCGAGGCTGGTGAGTTGACGTGGCGAGGCTGGTAAGATGATGTGGCAAGACGTGTTTGAAGGCTTCGTAGAAGAGAGAGATGGACGGGATAGATAGTAGGAGGGGTAGGAGGGTGGTGCCAGAATAACAGTGCAATGCGAATGCAGTGCCCTCCCTGATGTGCTCGGAGGGTCCCAAGAATGGCCTAGAGCCGCACGTGTTGTGGTGGAGGCCATAGCCCAGTTACACAAGGGCGCGGCGCAGACGGAGGCATGTGTGGCGCATCAAGTGACCCATTTCAGCACCTCCGTGTCGTCCCCACGTGGCAGGTGGAGGGGTGCATCAAGGAGGGTCCCAAGGCCGACCTAGAGCCGTACCTGGCAGCCATAGCGCGCCTGCAGGAGGCCGTGGCGTACTTTGAGGCGCACCGGTCGTTCAAGAGCGCGGAGGCGGCTCTCGCTCACTCCAAGGCGCTGCTGAGGGACGCCCACCACCGCCTGGCTGATGCTCTTCGGCAGCACCTGCTGCAGTTCACGTGAGAGAAGGGAGCAGGAATTTCGGGGGTGTGGGGGGGAGGAGGGAGGGAGCAGGGGAAAAGAAGAGCCAGCAGCTGCTGCAGCAGCTCATGGGAACTGCTGTTCATGGGAAAGGAAGACTGGGGGAAAACCCCTGTTTCGTCTTTTTACTGTAACCGTCTTACCCCATTCAATCCGATTCCGTCTCCCATGCCTTTCTCTCTCCCAACCCCCCTCTTCCCCCAGCAAGGAACCGGACCCAGCCAAGCTGTGGGACGCGAGCAAGCAGGGCGAGGAGGAGGCGGGCAGGCAGGGTGAGAAGGAGGCGGGTGGGGAGGGCAAGATGGAGGGTGGGGGATTACCGGTGCTGCTGGCGGATGGCCGGGCGGGCGACCGCATCCGCCAGCTGGCAGAGGCGCTCATTCGTATCGGGCGGGGTGATAAGTGCCTCAAGACCTACACGTGAGTGCCTCAAGACCTACACGTGAGTGCCTCAAGACCTACACGTGAGTGCCTCAAGACCTACACGTGAGTGCCTCAAGACCTACACGTGAGTGCCTCAAGACCTACACGTGAGTGCCTCAAGACCTACACGTGAGTGCCTCAAGACCTACACGTGAGTGCCTCAAGACCTACACGTGAGTGCCTCAAGACCCACATGTGAGTGCCTCAAGACCTACACGTGAGTGAGGAATTCGTTACAGTGTAGAGTGGAGGTTTGATGTGTTGTTCCTGATTGCCTGAGGATATACATGTGAATGGTTGATGCTCATTGGGATGGAGAAGCTCTCTCGGCGTGACTTGGCGGGAGCTGCTGCTGCCTCCTCGCATTGCCCGCTCTCTCCCTCTCTCTCCTTCTTGTCCCCCCTCTCTTAACTCCCAGCAGAAAATGCATGGGACCCACACATTCACTCACACACACTCATTCACTCCCATCTCTCGTTTTCTCTCCCCCGCGCAGCGAGGTGCGAGGCGCGATGGTGGAGGCGGGGCTGAGGCGCAATGGCATGGAGAGGCTCACGCGCGAGCAGATGGAGTGCATGGTGTGGGGGGAGCTGGAGGAGCTCATTGGCGCCTGGAAGCACATCAGCCTGCTCGTGAGTCAGTGAGCGTGTGAGAATCAAGGCTACAGACTTACTGCCTGGTGGGTGGCCCTTTGTGTTGCAAAGTGTAGCATGCCAAGAGGTAGAGAAGAAGTAGAGACGCTTGGGTTGGGTTCGTCGGTTTCGTTGCCAGTAATCCAGCCCGCTTATCTTTCACTTGTCTCCACCACACCAGTCCACCACTCCACCGTTTCCGTTTCCTCCCTTTTCAATCAATGGTCAAGATCGTGGAAACCAAGTTGACTTTTGAGTCGACTCACAAACCAAAGGTCAAGATTGTGAAAACAACCTGCTTCACTTCCTCCACCCTCCTGCCTCTGTACTCCAAGACCATATCGGGACTCCCGGCTCAAACCATGAGAGGCTCCTGCACAACCTGCATTCCCACACACACCACACCCTAACATCAACACTAGACCCCTCACATTCACTAAGCTGTGCGCTCTTCTTTCCTCATGACTTCCCCCCACCCCCCAGGTGCCCCTGGTGTTGAGGGCGGAGAGGGAGCTGTGTGAGACGGTGCTGGCGGGGTTGCAGCCGCACACCGGCAAGGCGTTTGCGGACCTGGCGGGGCCCACGCTGGGCATGCTGTTTGGCTTCGGGGAGGTGGTGGCGCAGCAGAGGAAGGCGGTGAAGGATGCCAAGGAGCTGATGAACATGTTTGAGAAGCTGCTCATCATGTATCACACCATGTGGACGCTCGTGCCCCAGGTGAGATGCGGCGCAAACTCATGTGGTAATTGAGATGCAAAATGTTTGCGTGCGTGTGTGTCTATGAGTGTGTATGTGTGTGCGTGTATGTGTGTGTGTGTGTGTTTGTGTGTGTGTGTGTGAGTGTGTGTGTGTGTGTGTGTGCATGTGGGTGCATGTGTTTGGTTCGAGTGATATATATATATATATATATATATACATATATTTTTCAGGGACAAAAGGTGTTCGGCGTTAGACATGAGTAACTGATCTGATTCTATAATATATATATATATATATATATATATATTTTACATTGAAGGGTTCGAATTTAGACACGAGCAACCAGTCTGGACCCATGGGAAGCTGACCTATACGGGCGTATGAGGGCGGGTCGGCTCGACCCATCGCTTGTGTCATCACCCACTTCAATCGCTGCCCTTCTCCCAACCATTGCTGTCACCCCGCTTCAACCGCAAACTGAGCTACAGGTGGAGGTTGTGCTGGTGGAAACCCAGACCAGTGGTCATTCATATCAACACCCACTGCTCTCTCTGTCCTTCTCCCCCGCTCCTCTACCCCAACCTGGGCGCCAGGTGGAGGTGATGTGTGCAGGCCCGGCATGTGAGAGCATCCGGGGCAGTGCGCAGCAGCTGCTGCAGCACCTGGCAGCAGCGGCCAAGGAGGCATTTTACAGCTTTGAGCGCGCGGTGGAGAGCGATGAGAGCATGCACTCAGAACGTTTGAGTGTGGCGCCCGATGGCATGCGGCATATGCTGACCAGCTTCGTCTTCAACTTCCTCAACTACCTCCACGATGAGTGCGTCCTTGCCAGCTTCAACCCCTAGGCGTGTGTGCTCCATGACACATTACAGGGGCGTGTTGCATGTGTGTGGTTCCATTCTAAGCTAACCTTCCGTCTACCTTACCCCATAACCTGCTCTGCTCTCTCATACCAACTTGATTTCTCACTCCTGCTCCGTAAGAGAAGGAACTTAGAACGGTTGGTTAGCCTAGAAAGCACTTGGCCTTACACACAAAGGAGACGAGGTGAGAAAGAAGTAGGCGATGAGTGTACATACTGTTGGAAATAGGCTGCACCTTACTTGCTGGCCTTTAGCTTACAATTCTATTTTGGTTGAGATGGGTGTTGACTTTTTCGTCCCCAAACCTATCCATCCAAAATCTTCACAGTTTGGATGGATTCTCCCTCCTCATTACACCTTATCCACCCAACTCCTTCTAGCTAGCTATACTTAAGTCCATGTACTTTTATTTCCAGTCACTTCAACTCTGTTACATACAATACAACCAACCAGCTAAACTGGTACTGATTAACCAGCCCACCTGGAAGACGAACAAAAAGAAAGGATGCATTAGGAATGTGCAGATCACCGAACCGAACCGAACCACTTCCGCCTTTAGCGAACGGAACCGGTTTGCTAACGAATTGGTCTGCCTTCATCGGGTTTGTAGTTTGTTATTACACATAACAAACCGAACCGGTTCGGTTCAGCGTGGCTGTTTCGCGTTCACGTTCACCCACTTGAGCTGAAACTATCGGTAGAACGCTTCCCCTTTCATTCACGCTTCCGCTTTCATTCACACGTTGGCAATTTCTTCCTCTCCTCTCCTCCCTCCCTCTCCCTTCGTCCTTGCTCCCTTCCCTTTCCACTCTTCATCACCCGTCTTTCTTCCCCTCCCCCCTCCCTTTCTCTCCCCATTACCTCTCCTTTCCTCTCCACCTGCTCTCCCCTTTGCCCTTTCCTTCCTCTCCCTATTCCCCGTCCTCCCATGCAGCTACCAGCCCACCATGCAGGTGCTCTTTGGTGCGGGCAGCGACAGCCTCTTGAGCGACGCGGTGAAGCGGGTCTTTGCAGCGCTGTACAGCAACATGGAGAGGAGGAGCCGCCAGTATGGCGATGCGGCGCTCGCACAGTTCTTCCTCATGAACAACACACACTACGTTGTGGAGGGCGTGCACAGGTAAGGCGTTGAGGAGTTGAGGGGATGAGCGGAGAGAGGGGGAGGGGGGGTGCAAGCTGTACGATGACACTACACTCGCACAGCCGTTCCTCATGAACAACGTGCACTACAGTGTGGAGGGCGTCCGCAGGTAAGGGGGGGAGGGGTGTGGGGGGGGTTGTGGGGTGGGATGGGGAGGGGGATAGGGTGGGGGTAGGAAAGAGGGAGGGATGGGGGGTCCAGGGGAGGCCGAGTTCACAGCTGCAAGGTTTATTGTGGGGCGGCGTTGACAGTGTCATCCTCGTGTTCCAGGGCGCGTGCGACAGTGGCAAGGCTCTTCCTCAAGACAAGAGTTCAGTGCACTACACACACCATGCACTACACACACCGTGCACTACACACACCGTGGTCGACGCCAAAATGCAAGGGCGGGTTACACCGCTTTTGATACGTGATCATTACAAACTGTGTTTTTGGTTTGGGGTGATCGATGTGACATGCCATTCACATTCAAGGACACGGTCAGTCCAAACAAGCGTACGTGCGTGCGGTGCACATTCGCGAGCACAGTGGAAGAACGTGTGGAAGTGCAGTTTAAAGTAACAACACTCAATGTAACTGAGGGCTTTGTTGCTCATAGAGGCAATGTCGCTACACGTGGACGTTTTGGTCCCCGCCCTCTACCCTCCCACTCCCTCCTCCCTTTTACTTGTAACGTCAAGCTGAAGGATGTGACGGGGAAGGGCTGGAAGCAACCTTGCCGTGTGTGCCCTGCCGTCCACTCTCCCCCGCCTCTCCTACCCCTTTCTCCATCCCCCCCGGCCTCTGTCTTCTCTCAGGGGCGGGCTGAAGGAGGTGGTGGGGGCGGAGTGGATCTACCGGCAGCGCCGCATCGTGCAGCAACATGCCGCGGCGTACCGGCGGACCTCATGGAACACGGTGGGCGCACGGAGGGGGGAGAATGGTAGCAATGACCAAGGCTGCAGTGTTTCGACTCTTCACGCCTGATGCACGTTTTGACGCTGAGGGAGCCTGCCCATCCCCCTCGCACTTGTCTTTTACCTCTGCCAACCACCCTTCAAATCACCCTTCCCACCGACACTGCATATCCCCCCCCACTGCTCTGCTTACACCACTCCGTCCACTCACAATCCTTCCCCCTGTCCCCCCACCTTGCTAGGTTATTGGGCTGCTGTCGTCGGCAGGACTGGCAGAGGATGGCAAGGAGGGCAGTGTGAGCCGCAGCGTTCTCAAAGAAAGGTGCGGACGCAGTGGGGAGGAGGGGGAGTGGTGTGTGGGGGAACAGAGGTGCTACGGAAAGGAAGGTACGCGGAGGAAGGGGGGGGGTTGTGAGGCAGAGGGGGGCAGTGTTGTGGGGGCGGACACGGGAATGGTGGGTTGGGGGGGAAGAATGGCTCACACATGGGCAATGGGGTTGCAGGAGTGCGGTTGGACGGGAGGGGAGTTGGACATATGGGGATGACGTGGAAGAGAAGTGGGGCTTGATGCATGCAGGTTGAGGAAGCTGATACTCTCCCTCACATCTCCCTACTCTCTCCCTCTCCTCTCCCTCCTCTCTCCCTCTCCTCGCCCTCCGCTCTCCCTCCCTCTCCCTCCTCTCTCCCGCTTCTCTCCCTCCTCTCTCCCTTGCATCTGCCTCCTATCTCCCTCTCCTCTCCCTCCTCTCTCCCTCTCATCTCCCTCCTCTCTCCCTCTCCTCTCCTTCCTCTCACCCTCTCCTCCCCTTCCTCACAACCTCTCCTCCCCTTCCTCTCACCCTCTCCTCCCCTTCCTCTCACCCTCTCCTCCCCTTCCTCTCACCCTCTCCTCTCCTTCCTCTTTCCTGCATCCTCTCTCCTTCTACTAAGCTCCTCCTCCCCACCTCCTCTTTTCCTCCTCCTCTTCCCCGCTGCCCTTCGCCAGGTTCCGTGTGTTCAACGCCACGTTTGAGGAGCTGCATCGCGCGCAGTGTGTGTGGAAGATCCCTGACCAGTTTGAGGAGCTGCGATGCGCCCTGCAGCTGCAGATCGCGGAGCTGCTGCTGCCCGCCTACCGCTCCTTCGTGGAGCGATACACGTGAGTTGCCGCCTCTTGCGCACCTGCCACTCCTGTGTGCAGCAATATACATGAGTTGCGGCTCCCACCAGGGTGGTCTGGCCTTGTTTTACATGTGCTGCTCCGCCCCTTGCGCCTTGGTGCAATGATGCATACCACGCACCATGTGCTGTGTTGCACGCGTGTGACGTGCCTGTGTGTCCCTCCAAGTGTTTTAGCAATCAATCTGTGCGTCTGTCGTTCCCACACACCGATCAAGTGTGTTCACATACCCACACGCACGATTTATCACGTGTTCCCATGCGACACACATCTGTTACCATGCACACAATTGTTACTTGAATCAATCACCTCCTATCCCACCTGTGCCCTCTCCCCGTCCACCCGTGCCCTCTCCTACACGTGCCTTGGCTGTACTTCCATCACCTCGTTCCTCAACATCAGCCTGCTCACTCCATCCATCGTTGTCCCTAATGTCCTTCTACACCCTCCCTTGTCACCTTCCCTCCCTTTGCCTCACATCAGCCCGGTGCTGAGGAACGGCGGTGTGTTTGGGCGCAGCAGCGAGGCGGCCAGCAAGTACATTCGCTTCACGGTTGAGGCCCTCGATTTGCTGCTCCATGAGTTCTTCCGAGGCAGGGAGAGCCGCAACATCCTCCTCACCCAGCCCTCCGCCGCATGCTAGGCTGCTAGCCCTGCACATGCCCCACTTGTGCCCCATTTGTGAGTGAGCCACATGTCATGCCACACACATGGTAAGGTCATCTCATCATACTAGTTCAATTCTGGTTGAACAAAACACCCATTGAAAGCACATTATTGTTAGGGCAGCATACTGTTACTAGTATCAGGACCTTTTGGATAGGATAGGTCTGCTTAGAGATTTGGCAGCAGAAGTCTTTAGTAGTGGTGGTGAAACCTTGTTGCACAGTGGAGATGACAAGGATTGGTTCAAAGAAATATAACACACAATATATAGATCATAGCTAGCCATGTAATCTAAGAGGTACATTCCCTTATGAATCGTAATGCATCGCTATAGTGCCAGCGATCCTTCAGTTACCAAGTTGCTGTCTGTAACTGCAGAGACGGTTGCGCTTGTTGCGAGTAACCGTTCGGTCTAGGCTGGTCAACAATCGCGACAGTTGACTTGCGACTGTTGACCTGTGCACTTTATATGGGCTAACGAGCTAGTGATACAAGCGCTGCTTCGATAGTAGCATGTGCGATATTACTGCACATTCGGGAATGCTACAAGTAATTCCTGCTGCGATCAGTAGGCGATCGCTCCTAGAATCTCCTCAGGAAGGTTCGCACACAGCTAGATAGTGTTGGTGGGCCCTTGACCTCAATAGCAGAGTGAATGTAAACTGCTTGAGATAATAAGGAAACATGCAAATACCATATTCTCTCGGACATAACACCTTAGGGTATAGCTAAAAATACAGGGAAAATAGAGGGGGGGTCTCCTCATAGGAAAAAAATACATAATACCCGGGTCTTTACATATGGCATATTTTAGTGTTAATGTTTTTTAATAAGTCAATGCGGGTGTTTTGCTGGTCATTTTAACATCACTGCCTGAGGCGCGAATGTGAGTTTCGGCCTGAAACTTCATCACCTCCACGAAAATGCCCTGTGGCACCTCTCTTGCCACTTGCGGCAGAAGATTCTGTCAAACTTATATACTATAGTCTGTGTAGGCTGTAGTGGGGTAGATAATATGGGGTACAACACTTTTAGGTTTTCCTACTTGTACCCACCTGTTTCCTAGTGCATTCATTCCTCATTCTTTCACATGGTATAGAGCAGGTTCCCTAGTGGGAAAGTTTCCTAGGGCCCACCGAAAATCGATTTTTTTTCCTGCCCGGAGCGCGCTTCGCCCCTGCCCAAGTCGCGCCCCGTGTGCCTGCCCTCCCGTCGCGTCCCCTGCCCTTAGCGGCCCGTCGCGCCCTCTTACGGCCCCGTAGCGGCCCCTCTCACGGCCCCTCGCGGCCCCTTCGCCGCTCCCTCGCGGCCCCTCCGCGGCCCTTCGCGGCCCCTCTCACGGCCCCTCGCGGCCCCTTCGCCGCTCCCTCGCGGCCCCTTGCGGCCCCTCGCGGCCCCTTTCACGGCCCCTTGCGGCCCCTTCGCCGCTCCCTCGCGGCCCCTCGCGGCCCCTCGCGGCCCCTCTCACGGCCCCTCGCGGCCCCTTCGCCGCTCCCTCGCGGCCCCTTGCGGCCCCTCGCGGCCCCTTTGTGGCCCCTCGCGGTCTCTTATCGGCCCCTTCGCCGCCCTTAGCGGCCCCTTCGCGGCCCCTTCACGGCCCTGCCGCCCCGCCGCCGCCGCCAGCAACAGCCGCCGCCGCCGACAGCAGCAGCCGCCGCCGCCGCCGCCGACACCAGCAGCCGCCGCCACCGCTGCCGTGTCAGCCGCCGCCGCCCCTGCCCCGGCCGCAGCAGCCGCCGCCGTCGACAGCAGCAGCCGCCGCCGCCGACAGCAGCAGCCGCCGCCGCCGCCGACAACAGCAGCCGCCGCCGCCGCTGCCGTGTCAGCCGCCGCCGCCCCTGCCCCGGCAGCAGCAGCCGCCGCCACCGACAGCAGCAGCCGCCGCCGCCGAACAGCAGCAGCCGCCGCCGCCGCCGACAACAGCAGCCGCCGCCGCCGCTGCCGTGTCAGCCGCCGCTGCCCCTGCCCGCCGCGGCTCCCTGGCCCCTGGAGCAGCCGCCGCTGCTGCAGCCGCCCCTGGCCCCTGGAGCAGCCGCCCCTGCAGCAGCCGCCCCTGGCCCCCCCCTGGAGCAGCAGCCCCTGCAGCAGCCGCGGAGCCCTCGTCCTGCGGTGGTAGCGGCCTCGCCATTACCGCTGTCGTACACCTGCCCTTCTTGCCACTGGTGAGCACTGCTGTTACTGCTGTTACTGCTGCTCTTGCTGCTACTGCTCTTTCTACTGCTACTGCTACTCCTGGCGTGGCCAGATGCAGCTCCAGCGCCGTCCGCGTGAGTCCCTCGCCCCCCATCAGCTTCGTGAGTGGTACGCTAGTTGGGGTTGTAGGGGTGGCCGCACTGCTACTACTGCTACTGCTGCTCCTGACGGTGACCAGATGCAGCTCCAGCGGCGTCCGCGTGAGTCCCTCACGCCCCAGCAGCTTCGTGAGTGGTACGCTACTTGGGGTTGTCGGGGTGGCCGTAGTGGGAGTCGTCCTGGAGTGAGTAGTTCGGGAGCTGCTTATAGTGGCCAGGTGCAGCTGCAGCGTCGTCCGTGCGCGGTCCTTTCGCCCCAGCAGCTTCGTGAGTGGTACGCTCAGAGTGGAGTGTCACGGAGTACTGCTCGCTGTCCGTACGTCATTCGCACTAGTGCTCGGACTGGTCAGCATTGCAGGACGTTAGGTCAAACAGAGTCCCGTTGCTTCGCCCGTCTGAGCGACGCCTGGCGTACGGAGTTTGGCGACGCGGCTGAGCTCCCCGACTGGGTGCAGCTGCTTGGGCAGAGGGTAGATATCTATACTCTTGACTATGATGCTATCCTCACTGCAATGTATGCATTGTCTACTAGTGATGAGGGTGACTGTTACCTGTGTGTTCCGCCTGACCCGGGCATTGAGGCTGCTGCTCTAGGTGCTGGTGAGGCAGCTGCTCTAGGAGCCAGTGCGTCTGCTACTCCAGGTGCTGGTGAGTCTGCTGCTCCAGGTACAGGTGAGTCTGCTGCCCCAGGTGCTAGTGAGTCGGCTCTCTCCGGCACCACATCGGCTCAGGTGTTGCACACGTTCACCCTTGACTCGGGTGCTTCCCGCTCCTTCTTTTGAGACCGCACCACACTCACGCCGCTTAGTCGGCCGGTTGCAGTCTCCCTGGCGGACCCCTCTGGGGGTCCTGTCCTTGCCCACTTCTCCACTGTCTTACCGTGTCCGGCGGCCCCTTCTGGCACCCTATCAGGTCTTTACCTCCCCTCGTACTCTACGAACTTGGTGAGTGGTGCTGACCTACAGGATAGAGGGGTTGACCAGTTCACTCCTGCGAGTCAGCGAGTGACCCAATGTACGTGTGCTCGGACGGGCCGACACTTGGCCACGTTTACCCGTCAGCCGGGGTCGAGCCTGTACACACTGACTACTGAGTCTCCTCCGGTTGCTGCGTCTGGTCAGGTAGCTGCGTCGGGTCAGGTGTTTGCTGCAGCGTCCAGGTCTGGTCCTGAGTCTGCCCCCTGCTCGTGTCGTCTCCTGTCTCACCAGACTCTCCTCTGGCACCACCGCCTTGGTCACCCCTCCCTGCCTCGTCTCCGAGGCATGGCCTCTCGTTTCCTTGTCTCAAGTCTCCCCCGGTCCCTCCCTCCTCTTCCTCCGGGGCCTGCCCCTACCTGCGTTCCCTGTGTCGAGGGGCGGCAGCGCGCCGCTCCTCACTCCTCCGAGTTTCTTCCGACAGAGGCTCCGCTGCAGACGCTTCACCTGGACGTGTGGGGCCCCGCCCGCGTCCGTGGACAGAGTCACGAGCGTTACTTCCTGCTGGTGGTTGACGACTACTCGCGTTACACCACGGTCTTCCCCTTGCGCAGCAAGGGTGACGTCACTGAGGTGTTGATCGACTGGATCCGGGCAGCTCGTCTCCAGCTCAGAGAGAGTTTCGGCTCGGACTTTCCTGTTCTGCGTCTGCATTCCGACAGAGGCGGAGAGCTTTCCTCTGACCTTCTGCGAGCTTTCTGTCGTGCACAGGGCATCCGCCAGACGTTCACGCTTCCGGCCTCTCCACAACAAAATGGGATTGCTGAGCGCCGCATTGGCATGGTCATGGACGTCACTCGTACGTCCATGATCCATGCGGCTGCTCCCCATTTTCTGTGGCCGTTCGCGGTTCAGTACGCGGCGCATCAGATCAACCTTCAGCCCCGGGTCTCCATGCCGGAGACCTCCCCTACTTTGCGGTGGACGGGGAAGGTTGGCGATGCGTCTGCGTTTCATGTCTGGGGATCTCGGGCTTTTGTCCGCGACTTGTCTGCGGACAAGCTGTCCCCCCGTGCTGTTCACTGCGTCTTCCTTGGCTTCCCCCCTGACGCGCCTGGTTGGCAGTTTTACCACACCACCTCGCGCCGTGTTCTGTCCTCCCAGGACGTCACGTTTGACGAGTCGGTCTCCTTCTACCGTCTCTTCCCCTACCGCACTGCCCCGCTCCCCCCTCCGCCGCTCTTCCTCACGCCAGGTGCTGCCTTGGTAGACCCCCTGCCTCCCCAGGGTCCTGCTCCCTCAGGTGTTTCCCAGGTAGACCCGGTCGAGACTGTCGTGGTAGCTGTCGACTCTGGTCCTGCGCGAGGTACTGAGCGTGCTGAGCCTGAGCGTGCTGAGCCTGGTGGTGCTAGGTCTGGGGGTACTGAGACTGGAGGTGCTGAGCCTGGGGGTGCGGAGACTGGGGGTGCTGAGCCTGAGGGTGCGGAGACTGGGGGTGCTGAGCTTGGGGGTGCGGAGACTGCAGGTGCTGAGCCTGGGGGTGCAGAGACTGCAGGTGCTGAGCCTGGGGGTGCTGTCCCTGGGGGTGCTGCGTCTGGAGGTCCTGAGCCTAGGGGTGCTGCGCCTGGGGGCGCTCTCTGTTCCCAGCAGCTGCGTGAGTGGTACTCTCGGTACTGTCGCAGCCTCCGTAGTGCTGCTGGAGCTGGAGCTGAGGGCGCTGAGCCCTCTGGAGTTGGTGTTGCTGCTGACCCTGGGGTCGGCGCTGGAGGTGC